CTCTTCCCCTCTCCCACCCACTTTGGAAACTGCATGCCAGGGCACGTGTGTGCAGCTGCTCCTCCCTTGGCTTCCAGGACCATCATATATTGTTACCTCTCCCTTGCTTCTCTGCATCTGGCTCCTCTTCCTACCAGTCTCGTCCAGGGCATGCTCCGCCTTCCAGGCACTCCCAGAACAGGCCCCATTAACAGAGCGCATGTGCAAGCACAGCATAAATGGTAGTGCCTGCTTCCTCAAGCACTGGGGCCTCCAGTCTGTGGCCTGTCTAGCCAGAGTCCCTCTGCTGCAACTATGAATTGAGAAAGCGACAAGGAGTCCTGTGGCACCTTATAGACTAACTGAAGTGTAGGAGCATAAGCTTTCGTGGGCAAAGACCCACTTCGTCAGATGCATGTAGTGGAATTTTGCAGATTCAGACTAACACGGCTACCCCTCTGATACTATGAATTGAGAGTTAAGTTCTGGTGACTTTGGGATGGGAACATCTGTCCATGGAGCCGTGCAAATGGCTGCGATGATTCTAACTACATCCCTGCTTCAGCAGCATGATGGGAAACACACAAGTGGGATAGGAACAATTTAGGCTGAATTTTTTGCCAGGGGCCACTTTGGAAATGTTTGAAGTGGCCCTGGGCTGCACAGGAAGGGGCGGGGCATCGAGCAGAAGGGGCGGGGCCAAGATATTTCCAGGTTCCTTGCCCCCCACACAACTATTGGACTGGGGGTGAGGGAATGCCTTTGCCCCCACCCCACATTCCCCCAAGGTGCCCATGCCCCTGGCGTGGGAGGAGACTTCCCTGGCTCCCCTGCCCCTAGGCCAGTTAGGGCCTGGGGGTGGGAGAGTGCGCAAAGCCGCCTCCGCTCTCCTCTCCTCCTCCTCCTCCTCCTCCTCCCTCCCCGCAAGCAGTGTGTGGTGCTTCACATGCTCCCCTTCCCCCAAGCTCTGATTGACCTGGGGGCAGGGGAGCAGCAGGGCCTTGGCAGGCTGGATCCGCCTGCTTAGAGGCCCTTTTGCCCACTTCTGTAATATGCCCTTCAGTGGGCTTGTTGGTTTCTGGCTGGCTTGGACTTGCTGCTCCACAACCCCACCTGTGACACACTTGTGCCAGAGAGTCCCCCATAGCTTGGATTGGATTGGAAATCGTGCCCTAAAACAGACTGAGTCCGTTTCTTCAGTTCTCCAAGCCCTCCCCTCTTCCCCAGCAGCCCTGCCTGCTAGCCTGTCCCCTGGTGCCATTGGGTGATGGCTTGCCTCTTGCGGGGCCTGGTCAGTAGGTGTTGGCATTTGGACATGCTCTTCCCCTGTGTCAGGCCCATCTCACACTTCAGGTTTGATTAGCAGAGCCAGGGTGTGACTGCTGCTGCCCCGCCTGCCCTTCACTGGAGACTGCCTGTGCTCCCACTGACCTGCATGCAAGAAGAGGATGGTCTGAAATGGGCTTTGCTGTCCCTCTGAAGGGACTGGAATGACAGTGTTTGGGAGCAGAGGGGCTGGAAGTGGAACAGTGAGCAGTAGGGCAGGCCATCCCTGCTCAGTCTAGTGAGTGCCCCACAAATGCTGCCTGAGACTCGGCGGCTGCTGTGGATTACCCCAGTCACACCATATGTCATCCTCTACAGTCAGCCCTGCACTCTGTCTCCATGCTCCTGCTGCCTAAATCCCTCTGTGTTATTGCAGATGGCTCTGGCGGGGGGAGAGGGACAGATGCTGCCCTAGATCTGCAGGATTAAACTCCCAGCAGCAAAAGCAGATTAGGGTATTACACCGGCGCCTTCCAGGGGGAAGCCCACTGTCTCCTGAGCCAGGCCCTTCCTGGGGCGGGGCTGGAGGTACGGTGATTCCCCTGGTAGCGTGCGCCATTACTGACACCCCCCTCAGAGCCCTCCTGGTATTCTGGAGGAGCTGTTAGCTAGCTAGCCAGCCAGCAGTGAGTGGGGCACTCTGTCTAGAATGAGGGGCACCTGATCCCTATTTCCCCCATAGCAATCTTGCTCTCCCACGCTATGTATGCTCACAGAGCTGGAGAGTGGGTGGTGTCATGTTTTGAAGGGATCACACCATAACATCACTTGCACTGCAGTACGCAATCCTACCTGCAGTAACTCCTGCTTGTCCGGTCCCACAGCCCCCGGCGCTTTCAGTCCTGCCCCACCCTCACCCGCTCTGCCACTCCACCTACATCCTGGCCTGCAGCACTGACATGTAGCTTTAGGCATGTAAGAGCCCTTTGCTGTATGGAGCCTGGTTAATTCCAGTGGGTCTGTGTGTCATGGTGGGAATTCCATAAATAAGTCTGGAACTTCCTTATCACGGTCTGCCCTGTTTGGCCCACCGGGCTTAGCAATAGCAGAGTACTAAGGCATTGTAGATCTCACACTAGACACCCGTGTTCCCCCTCCTTTTCCCACCCATGTGCAGGATGAATTTTGTTCTCTGCACCAGTATGGAGGTGATGTGTGACACTTGATTATCCAGGCAGGTAACAAAATTCATGTGGGCAGGGGTAGGGCTGAGGGGTTCCGGAGAGAGGGGTGGGGCTGGGACTGAGGAGCTCAGGGCTGGCTCCTGGGGTTAGAATGCAGGAGGATTGAGGCCTGTGACCTCTGGGAAGGGGTGAGGGGTTTGGGGCACATGCTGCCCTGGGGCTACAGTGTGGGGAGAGGACTCCTCTGAGCTCTCTTCAGCAGCACCTGGGTTGGGGGGAGGGGCGATTCTTCTCCAGTTGTGGCAGGGCCGTGCTGGGGCTGGGGACCTCTCACCCATTTCATTATTTGCATGACCGTGGCACATACAGGCTCTAGCCAGGGACCACTGAGCTAAGCCCCGCATATTAGTTATTAGGAGTATTCCAGTAGCCCCGAGGCGCCCCAGCCTTGGGCCAGAGCACCCTTGGGCTGGATGCTGTGTGACCACAGACCACAAAGGGCCCTCCCCAGCATTCCACTCTGACCCCATCCTCTGCCGTAACTAGTGACCTTCGTTCCCCAAACTCTCCCGTCCTCCTGAATGCCTCTCCCCACCCCCCGAGGGCGCTGAGGAGCAGACAGTGATCTGCTGTGTCCCCTGCTTCCCACCACGGGCCGGCGGCATTTGGGAGCCTTAGCCGACTGTCCCGGCGTTCAGGTGTAAGGCTCTCTCTTTCTTTCACTTGGACATTCTGCTTGGCTGCTTTCTGCTCCACAGGTGCTTCCCCTCCTGTAACCTGGTCTCCTTGCCTGTGTTGTGGGGCCATGTCTTTTCTCTGGGTTGGTCTCTGTGTGTGGAGCTGCTGGTCAGACTGGCTTGTCCTGTTTCTCTGCCTTGTTATCTAGTTTGCCTTGATGAGTTGGTTCATTCAAGGCTCCATCTGTCTGGGCCCCAGTGCTGTAGAGTCTGAGTCTCTCACTGTATGTACCCACACCCCGTGTGAGGCAGAGCAGTGTCGTTAACCCCATTGTAAGCTGGGAAACTGAGGTACGGAGAGGCCATGTGAAGTCTTTGACAGAGCACTATTTGAACCCAACTCTTCTAAGTTTTAGGATGGAGCCCTAATCACTAGTCCTCCTTCCTTGGATGCAGACTGGGGCCCAGCTAGGCCCTACACAGCTGGACAGAGCCATCGTTTAACTGTTGGGGGTGACCACTTTGTATTGGAGGGGGCCTTTGTGATGGGTTGGAAGGGGAGGATGGTTCTTCACTCTCCCTTTCCAGTAGATTTTCCCGAGCTGGTCAGAGGGGCCCAGCAGAATGTTTCCCTCATGTGCCTACTGCTAATCACTTCCCTTCCTGGACTCTGGGTGTGTCTAGACTACAGGGTTTTGTCGACAAAAGTGGACTTTTGTCGACAAAACTATACCTGCATCCACACTGCCTTTGAGTTATGTCGACATAACGTTGACAAAACTCAGCAGTTTTGTCGACATATGTAAACCTCGTTCTACGAGGAATAACGCCTTTTGTTGACAGAGTTCTGTAGACAGAAGGTGTTATTGCATCTACGCTGTCTTTTGCATCCACACTGTTATGTCGACAAAGCAGCTTGCTTTGTCGACAGAACTGGATGTAGTCTAGATACTCTTTGTCGACAGTATCTGTCGACAAAGCCCTGTAGTCTAGACGTACCCTCTGGGTTCCCCATGCCCAGTTGCTACTGTTCAGAGTGTGGAGGGTACATGCTGGATTTCAAAGCAAGCTGCTCTCAGGAGAGGTTATTGGTATGAGTTTCTATACCAGCCAGCTCCAGCAGGAGGTGGTGCTCCGTGGAACAAGGTTAGGATCTAGCGAGGGGCTTGTGGCCCAAAACACAGGTCAGTCCTATTGGGCTTTGTTTCTGTCCCAGAGGAACGGCCCATCAGTTCTGTCTTCAAGCGCTGGTTGTCTCTTGGACATATCCCTGCCCTGGTGAGAAGGTGGCAGACCCGCTTCCAAGCAAACCTCTGGCAGCTCAGGGAAGGGTTAACAGCCGTGTGTTGGGAATTCTTTGGCTCCTGTGGTTTCTAAGCTTCCCTGGGGAGTGTGAATCCCCTGCTCCAGGGTTGGCCCATTGGGACATCTGACCCCCCCGTTTGCAGGACCAGGGGTGGGATGTGGACTTCCACTTTGGGAAGATAGGACATACCACAACGCATAGCAGGGACAGCTTGTCTAGTGCCCAGCAGGGACATCCCCTGCTCTCCCCCTCTGCCCTGCTGTTGCTTTCCTGAACTCCACAGCAAAGAGCAGCAGCTGGGGAAAGGGTATTAAATGCTACTTAATTTACAGTCAGATGCAGGGTTGAGGGCACAGCTCTGTCCTCACCCCGCCCTAGTTCCCTGCTCCAGACGGGATTGCCTGGAGTCCCTCCGTGGTTAGATGAGTCTGAAGGGCTTCTCCTGGGGTTGCAGAATGCAGTTATTAGGCTAAATTGGAGAGGTGCTGGTGGGAGGGAGTGGGGGAGCTGGAGGCATCCTGCCTAGAGTTCGTTCAGTCCTGAGTGGAGGTGGCTTTGCATTGTCTCCTCTCTTGTGTCTGTGTGCAGGTGCCCGGGGCTCAGCCTGTACATCTCCCCGATCATCCCCATCTACAATGCTGTTGTCTTCCTCTTCGTGCTGGCCAACTTCAGCATGGCCACCTTCATGGACCCGGGGATATTCCCACGAGGTGAGAGCTGTACCCTCCGCAGGGCAGGCCAAAAAGTGCTTTGTCATGAGCCAACTCTTTACAGTGCTCCATGGCTGATACCCGTGATCTCCAGCTTCAGGGCATAAGCTGATGACCACAGGGCTGAGGAAGGAACTTTTTAGCCCTGGTCATTAGGGATGTTACATTTAGATTGATTGACTAATCCAATAGTTGATTTTAAGCCAGCTCCCCCCAGCGCTGGCTCCTGCTCTCCCTCCTCCTCCTCCTCCTCCTCCTCCTCCTTCCCTCCCTCCCGATAGAGGGTGTGATATTTGGGGCCTCTAGAGGCCCCCATGCCTGCTCAGAATGCAGACATCAGGATTTTCCTGTTTAGGGGTGGCTGAGGTGTCCAATGCAACAGCACCAGGTTGGCAAAGGCGGAGGGTCTCAAAGCTCTCCCAGTTTGGGGGGACAGGGGGCAGCTAGGCTTGGCCTGTGGCTTCCCAGGGCTCTGACTTGTTGCTCTGCTGGGCATGTCCCCTCCCTCAGCTGATGAAGATGAGGACAAGGAGGATGACTTCAGAGCCCCCCTATACAAGACAGTGGAAATCAAGGGTATCCAGGTGCGCATGAAATGGTGTGCGACGTGCCGCTTCTACCGGCCCCCACGCTGCTCCCACTGCAGCGTCTGTGACAACTGCGTGGAGGTGAGGAAACACGGGCTGGGCTATTGCGCGCACATGACAGCATGAGCGCTGCACTGCTCTGTATGCTCGCGGGGGTCCTGTGCTGTGCTTAGCTGCAGGACATGGAGGGTGGGTCTGTCTGTCTCACACCATTTGCCTAATGGCATATGGGGTGAGGACCATAGAGGACAAGAGCATGTTGTGCCCTGTTTCTCTGCGGCAGGTGGGCGGGAGAGCCTTCTGCTCTGATTACCATGCAGACAGAGAGGGTCCTACCTTCTGATCCCAAGTAGATGGACCTACTCTTCGCTATTCTTGTGGGGTAGCATTGGCAGTCCTGTGCGCCACCCTTCTTGTGGGGTGGGGTGACATGATGGTCCTGTCCTTGGCTCTCCCTCTGGGGTTTGGAGCCATGGGAAGGGGTGGGGTGGCAGGGTGGTCCTGTCCTCCGCTCTCCCTGTGGGGGATTGGGGGTGGCAGGGTGATCGTGTGTGCTGCTTGTCCCATGGCCCCGATTGGCTAGCAGCGGTGGCCCTGTGCTGTTGCACACAAACCTCTGACTGTTTTCTCCCCTTCCCTTGTCACTGGCAGGAATTTGACCATCACTGTCCCTGGGTGAACAACTGCATTGGGCGGCGCAACTACCGCTACTTCTTCCTCTTCCTGCTCTCGCTCACTGTGCACATCATGGGCGTCTTCGGCTTTGGCCTGCTGTATGTCCTCTGCCAGGTGGAAGAGCTCTCTGGGGTCCGCATGGCTGTCACGTATCCTCCTGCCATCCCGGCGAAATCCTGCCCAGAGGAGCAGCCCGGGCTAGGCGAGGGGGTGCACCCCTGGGTGTAGAGAGGCTGGGAGAGGGAGCGTTCCCAGGCTGGGCAGAGGGGTGGGAGAGGGGCGTGTAAACAAGAACAGCACTTGGGTTGTTCCCTTGACTCTCCTGACAGCATGGGGGTGATGTGTGTGGCCGGCTTGTTCTTCATTCCGGTAGCTGGCCTTACGGGGTTCCACGTGGTGCTGGTAGCTCGGGGACGCACTACCAACGAACAGGTACGTACTCTGCAGGCCAGAGGGCTTTGGGGGTGGCTTCTGTCCCAGCTCCCCTGAACGGTTCTCTGTCCCCCACAGGTTACGGGTAAATTCCGGGGTGGTGTGAACCCCTTCACCAATGGCTGCTGTAAGAATGTCAGCCGAGTTCTCTGCAGCTCCCCAGCTCCCAGGTAAGTCTGCCCCACCTACAGGGAGATCTGAGCCAGCCCCACAGTCCTGGGCCTGCTCAGCTCTTTGGGGAGGTAGGTGTCCTCACGTAAGGGGCTACTCCGCTGGGGCAAGTCCCTGATCCCCTGCTTTAAATGCAAACCTGCCTCTGGGTCTCAGTGCAGCCGCTTTCCGGGGAGCCTCCTGGTTTTCATGGGAGGCTGAGATGCTCCCTATAGAATCTCTTGGTGTTTGGGGACCAGCATGGTCAGAAGCACCATCGCTGTGGCTTAGCGTCATGGCGCGCATGGCTCTCGTGGGGCACACTCTGGGACCTGCAGCTCTTGGCTGTAGGTGCCAGCCAGGTGGGAGCAGCCTGCGTGCAGAGAGCTCTGTCCCAGCTCCGCTGCTCTCCTGTAGAGCCCATGGCTTACTGCTCCCCCGTGCTTCTCTAGATACCTCGGCCGACCAAAGGCAGAGCAGACGGTGCTGGTGAGGCCGCCCTTCCTGCGGCCTGAGGTGTCTGATGGACAGGTCATGGTCAAGATCATGGACAATGGTATCCAGGCTGAACTGAAGAGAACCAAGGTGAGGAGGGTGGAGGCTGCCTCCCTGGGCAGGGAGAGCCCGGGGGTGCAGGGTGCCACCGTGAGTAGGAACCGAGTGAGCCTTTGACATGCTCCCTTTCTTCCCCTCTGTGTGGTTTCACCGTGTGTCCCACCTGCCTTGCAGCCGAAGCGCTGTTCCTTCCATGTGGCAACCGCTGCTGCATGAGGCTCGCACCTTCCATCTCTCTCCTCCTGGGTAGCCAGAGGCACCTCTTCCCTTCCCACTCAGTATCTGAGCCACAGGCGGACGTTGTTCCCAGGACGCCTTGTCAGCGCCAGGAGACAGTAGGGCCCTTCCACTACCCCTCGCTGCTGCTGTGCCCAGCGGGGAGGACCATGCATCCTGCCCCGCCCTTCTGATTGCTCCTCTGCCCTTTGTCTCTGCAGTCCAAAGGAAGCCTGGAGGTGACGGAGAGCCAGTCGGCCGACGCTGAGCCGCCCCCCCCACCCAAGCCAGACCTCAGCCGCTACACAGGTCTGAGGACGCACTTAACCCTGGCCACCAATGAGGGTAAGGAAGGCATGCCAGGCTGAGGAGCAGCTCTGCCCACCGTCGCAGGGAGGGGAGCCCAGAGCTCGCAGAGCAGAAGGGACGTGCCTAGGCAGAGCTTAGGAATGGACCGTTGGCAGGGCATGCGGTGTGTTGCGCGCAGCTAGCGCCGGGCCCCACGCACTGCTGAGTGCATGGCGAGGGCTGCCCCATCTCGCCTGGCTGGGAAGGTTGCTGTGGCGGCGCTCTGGACCAGGGCGCCAGACTGGTTTGTGCTGCTACCCTTGTGTGGGAAGCAGGGAGCCAGAGGGGGGTTGACTCTTGCTTGTTGCCACGGTGGTGGTGCCAGTCGTGATGCGAAGGTGGCAGCACAGTTGCTAGTGTTCATTTCCCCCGTGTAGGCATTCTCGCTGGCTTGTGGCCTGCCAGCGCTGTCCCCTGCTGGGAGAGCCCGTCCGAGGGAATGTGTGTGGAGAGGAGGCGTGGTCTGGTTACTGGGAGTCCAGGGTTCTAGTGAGCGTGGGTGGGTTGTTGCCTCGCTCTGTTTCCCCAGGTGTTTGCCTGCCTCTGAGTTGCTGCTGTGGGTGTTTAGCCCCTGTCTGGGGGGCAAGGAAGCACAAGCTAGTGGTTAGAACACAAGCTAGATCTTTGAAGAGGAACACGTGGACCCAGCTGTTCGTGCCCCCCATAGGATGGGACCGTATCAGAGTTTTGCAAGGCCCCATAGGCAGAGCTACAGGGTGTGGTGGAAGAGGAGGCATTTGGACAGAATGGGGCCAGGCTGGGAGGCAGCTGCAGGATTAGTGGGAGAAGAGACTTCCATGGAGTTGGAGATCTGGGCAGGGCCTGCAAGGTGGTAGTAAGATGCGTGGCCTTGAGGCAGGTGGCGAGGACAGGCTGTGACGTGCGTAGCGCCTGTTGGACAGAGCTCTGGAAATGCGCCGCTCGCCTCCCCGCTCTCCCTCCTCAGGCACTTGGGTTGGAGCAGCGTTAAGACGGTTCCCCTGGGCATGAGGGCAAATCCGCCCCACCCCCAAGCAGTGGGGCCTGTTGCACAGCTCAGTGTGGGGCTTCTCTGCCAGTCACGGGACCCCTTGCTCAGCGGAGTGGAGCTGAGAACTCATAACCCAGCGCTGGCCGGGCTGCACCTGGGACTGGAAACTGGCTGCCTGCCTGATCTTACTGATGGGAAACGGCCCTTCTGTTCCATTTCATCCCATTCCCTTTGGCCCATCTCTCTCAGTTCCTCCCCCTCCTTGGCACCCCAAGCCCCTCCCCCAGGCTCGGAGCCGGGTCTCCTGAATCAGCATGGTGACTGTCTCCCTCGGCATCCCAGCTGTAGGGAGAGGACCCCATGGGTGCTGTTTGTGAGTGTCTGTGTCTCTCCCCTCATAGACAACAGCTTGCTAGGCAGGGACAGCCCTCCGACTCCCACCATGTACAAGTACCGCCCTGGCTACAGCAGCAGCAGCACCTCAGCCGCCATGCCCCACTCTACCAGCGCCAAGGTAACGCTACCCATGGACGGCCCTGGGGGCTAGCCCACATGGGGGAGGGGGGAAGAGACCCATTTGGGAGCTGCTCGGGGCAAGTGGAGGCAGTGAAAGGGAGATATGCAAGGACTGAGCATCTCAGAATGTGGGGTTGGGTCCTGCCCCAGCCACCCAACTGATCACTATCAGTGGCTGCAGTGTTGTGAGGGGAACGGCTCACACCTTCCACGGGACATGGGCTTGTCCTTAAAGGGCAGTGCTGGGAGAGGGCTGAGTCCCTTGAGAAGGGGATGTTACCCCAGCTCCTGCAGCTGATCTCCTAGGGCAGTGCACGCCCTGTCTCTTGGGCTGTCCCCTCCGGTGTCTGTGGGTTCCTTATGCCAACCCTGCAGGGCAGAACGCTGGGGAATGTGGGGGTTGGACTGTGAGGGGCGCTGGGCCCTTTTAGAGGGCATGTTGCCCCGTCTTCACCAGGCATCCCCAGAGAGTCTGCAGGGCGAAACCCTGGGAAATGGGATGCGGACTGGGCTGTCTGGGGGGTGCTCAGTGCCAGTTCCAGGACCATCTGAGGGTGGGATGGGCTGAAGTTGGTTCCTAGTTCTGTGGGCATCAGGTAGGCTCTGACTGTACCGTGCATCCCGTCAGTTGAGCCGAGGGGACAGCCTGAAGGAGCCGACCTCCATCGTTGAGAGCAGCCGGAACCCCAGCTACCGCTCAGAGCCAAGCCTGGAGCCTGAGAACTTCCGCTCACCCACCTTCGGCAAGAGCTTCCACTTCGACCCGCTGTCGAGTGGCTCGCGCTCCTCTAGCCTCAAGTCAGCCCAAGGCACGGGCTTCGAGCTGGGCCAGCTGCAGTCGATCCGCTCCGAGGGCACCACCTCCACCTCCTACAAGAGCCTGGTGAACCAGACGCGCAACGGCAGCCTTTCGTATGACAGCCTGCTCACGCCCTCTGACAGCCCCGACTTCGAGTCAGTGCAAGCCGGGCCGGAGCCAGAGCCCCCCCTGGGCTACACCTCGCCCTTTCTCTCAGCCCGCATCTCCCAGCAGCGGGAGGCCGACCTGCACAGCCGCTTCCCTGGCACCGGCTCGCCCAAGTACCCGCCCCCCTGCGAGCCCTCGCCCATGCGCTATGACAATCTCTCCCGCCACATCGTGGCCTCCATGCAAGAGCGGGAGAAGCTGCTGCAGCAGTCACCCACCCCACCGCCTCTGGCCAAGGAGGAGGACACGGGGCTGGTAGACTCGGGCATCCAGTCGACACCAGGCTCCAGCAATGCCCCGCGCACCAGCTCCTCCTCGGACGATTCGAAGCGCTCCCCGCTGGGCAAGAACCCGCTGACCCGCCCGGCGCCGCCCCGCTTCGGCAAACCGGAGCTGCCACACGTGTTCCGGGTGCGCTCGCCTGACCCACCCGCGGCCCCCCAGCTGGGCAAAGCTGTGTCTTACAGCAGCCAAAAACAGCCCCCCCCCGCCAGCATCCCGGAAACGGAGGAGGTGGCCTTGCAGCCATTGCTGCTGCCAAAGTAAGTACCAACTGCCCACCACACACTTAAGTGTTCCTTGACTCGGCGGGGGACAAGCTGCCTGGGCGAGCGCCCCACTGCTGTGCCAACGGAGGAGCGCAGAGGGAGCCGACAGCGCAACCCAGGGAGAGGCTGGGGGGGATCCACAAGGAGTCCTGCCTGCCCTCGTCTGGCCCTTCCTCTCCCTCCCTCCAGCACATGAGCCAGAGAGTGTGGTGTGAGACCAACCCTCTCCTCCCTGTCTCTCCCAGAGCCACGCCCATCCTCTCCCCCTCTGCTCCGAGAGCCATGTTCAGCTCTGCCTCTCCCATCTCCCAAGTGTCCTGTGTCTGGGAATTGCCTCCCTCCACTCTTCTGAGTGTGGGGCACATCCTCCCTTTCCTCCTCTGCCCAGGGAGAGAAGGTGGCGTGGGGGTGTTGTGTCTGGTCCCCTCCCTGGGAGAGCATGGGCGCTGTGTGCGCCTGCGTGTCTGGTCCCCTCCCTGGGAGAGCGTGGGCGCTGTGTGCGCCTGCGTGTCTGGTCCCCTCCCTGGGAGAGCGTGGGCGCTGTGTGCGCCTGCGTGTCTGGTCCCCTCCCTGGGAGAGCGTGGGCGCTGTGTGCGCCTGCGTGTCTGGTCCCCTCCCTGGGAGAGCGTGGGCGCTGTGTGCGCCTGCGTGTCTGGTCCCCTCCCTGGGAGAGCGTGGGCGCTGTGTGCGCCTGCGTGTCTGGTCCCCTCCCTGGGAGAGCGTGGGCGCTGTGTGCGCCTGCGTGTCTGGTCCCCTCCCTGGGAGAGCGTGGGCGCTGTGTGCGCCTGCGTGTCTGGTCCCCTCCCTGGGAGAGCGTGGGCGCTGTGTGCGCCTGCGTGTCTGGTCCCCTCCCTGGGAGAGCGTGGGCGCTGTGTGCGCCTGCGTGTCTGGTCCCCTCCCTGGGAGAGCGTGGGCGCTGTGTGCGCCTGCGTGTCTGGTCCCCTCCCTGGGAGAGCGTGGGCGCTGTGTGCGCCTGCGTGTCTGGTCCCCTCCCTGGGAGAGCGTGGGCGCTGTGTGCGCCTGCGTGTCTGGTCCCCTCCCTGACACGGGATGTATGCACCTCACCTGGGAGGATGCAGGGCTTCTTCCAGTGTGGGAGAGCCTACTTTCTCCGGGGGGGGGGGAGGGTTGGGCTCTGTCCATCTTCCTGGTTTGGTGTGCTCCTGGCACCTTTCCCCTTCCCTAGCACATGCCTGCTCTCCTTCACACCCTCTGCCCTGGGGTGTCAGCGCACACCTTCCCTTCCCTGCCTGTGTGCGGATCCCTCCATCCCCCTGCCGCTGAGTGTGCTGTACTGTGTGGTTGGCAGTTCCACCCATCCCAGCCCTGTGGTGTGTGGTCGCTTCCTGACGCCCTTGTGTCCTTCCTTCCCCAGAGACGAGGTGCAGATGAGAACCGCCTACAGCAAGTCCAATGGGCAGCCCAAGAGCCTGGGCCCGGCCTCCCCCTCCCCTGGCCAGCCGCCCCCCAGCAGCCCCACTCGAGGAGGAGTCAAGAAGGTCTCTGGAGTGGGCGGGACCACCTATGAGATCTCTGTATGAGGGGCGGAGCTCTCTCCCCACTGTCTCTTCCTCCCTGGCTCTTACCAAAACACTCAGGCCCTGGTGGGCTGGAGGTGTGCCCTGGAGCCAGGACACCTGCATGGACATTTTTTAAGAATCCTCCAGCTGTGGGGGGAAATGGCTGAGAGGAAAGTGACCTTTTAAAATATGACCCCTGGGATTTGGGGTGAGGCTCTGAGCATCCCCTAAGTCATTACAGCTGCAACGCAGCCTGAATCCCCCTCCTGCTCCCAGCCAGCTGAGAAACTAACTCTAGCACACACTGCCGAAAGAAGGGGGAGGACTATCCCGGCAGCACCCCCAGCTGGTGGGGGAAGGCACAACCGATGGGCCAGACACTCGTGGACCTCGTGCAATCGCTCGCCTTGTGCGGTAGGAACGGTTCGTTTTTAAAACAAGGATAATTTTTTTTATGATTGTTACGGATTCTATTTTTTTTCCTCTTCTGAGTTACCAGGTGTGTGTATATATAAATATCTATATATAAATATAAATATAAAAGAAATTCTATATCTACCAGAGAGAGGGAAGAATCGCCCCACAAGGGCCCAAGCCCCTATGCCCCCTTAGGACACCCAGCCCCAAGAAGGCTGATATGGGGATGTGTGCGTGTGTGTATAGAGTTTCTAGGTCCAGAGAGGTGGGCAGTGGGGGCTTTCTACCACAGGTTAATTGGAAAAGAGACCTGTGGAATTGCCAGTGTTGGGACCGGGGTGGGGGGAAACGGGACAGTATTTTATATTTAGGGACAGACACTAGATCCTTGCTCATGTGATCCCAGGCTTGACCATTGCTCAGTGTTTCTGGGGCCTTCCCCTAGCAGCCATGCTAGGGGCCTGGGCTGCCTTTTGAGTGTCACCTCCCCCTTTCCGGCTTCTCTGGTTCCTGGATGGATTTCCTATCCTGAGGAAGCAAGGCAAGGGGGAGACCTGGAAGGCAGCCCTTCCACCCCATCATGCAGTGGTTAAGCATGGCCTCCCCTTTAGCTGAGTGGGATGGGCAAATCCATGTCTCCCTTGCATGGGTGGGTTTAATTGAGGACTCAGTTTCTCATTTACAGCCTCCAGTATTCGGGGGGGTGGGGTGGGATGTGTCATGAAACTGACTCCCAGCAAAGTGGGAACAAGAGACTGGTGGGTTTCTTCTGTTTCCCGATGCTACTCGTTCCGCACAAACAGCCGCTTGCTTAGTGCTGGAGACGTAGCATTGGGACTCAGAAGAGCAGTAGGGGGCTTGAGGGCTGTGTTCCCTGTACAGAGATTTGACCTGTATCTAATCCCTCCCCCACAGACCATTTTAGCAGTTCTTCTCTCTGTTGTTTTTACATTTTTTTTATTTTTGATGGTTCCGTTATGGTTTCTCACTGTCACGCTATTGTTTTTATTTCCAAATGGGAAGAGAAAAAAGGAGGAAACAAACCAAACCCCCCAAAGCAATATTTTCATGTCATATGCCAAAAAAAAATTGTAGACATTCACACCAAAAGCCCATGAAAGTCTATTTAAGCAAACCAAGCAGAAATCCAACCTAATCTCCAGGCACTACTTGACTCTTTCTCTATGGCAATATCTCTCTTGTGGCCTCCACAAAGCCACACTTTTATTTTTTATTATGATTAGCCATTTTAAAATGAGGAATAAAAAGTCTAAGCCACCCCTCCGGGCTTGTGTGGTTTTTGTTTCATTTTTGATAGGGGAGGAGTGTCTCCTTTGATACCTTCCTTTCCCATCATTCCATCCAAAGATCTGGAGCAAAATTGCCTAAGTCTTGAAGAACCGGAAGGTCAGAGAACCAATCTGAGGCTGTCTTGCCAAGAGAGGTCTCCAGGAGGTACACAAGAGTGGGTCCTCACTCTGCCTTCTGAGCCAAGCTAGCAAAACTGCCTTGCTAATGAGGCATAGCTGCTAGCAGTTGTCAGTTCCTTGTTACCTGGTGGGGTGTGAAGACAAACGGACTTTGGAAACTCTCAGTAAAGTGCTGTGTAATGCTCCGATGAAGAAGAGCTTGCAAGTAGGGTGTTTGCATAACCTTACCAGGACAAAGGACCAGCTGTGTAAGAGGCAGAGCTTGTACTCTGAGAAGATGGAGGCGGATGGTAATGCGAGAGGGGAAACAAGGCTGCTGTCCAGTTTTCCCTGCTTGGTCTAGTCCCTCAAAGGATAAAAGAGAGTTCCAACTAGAGCTTCAAGCATGTGCTGCCCACTCAGCCGGCTGGCTGCGTAACGAGGCATAGGCGCATGCTAAGCCATTCCATCCAAAAACCCTTTACGATAGGAAACGGTTCCTACGTGAATAGCCAGGTGTACAGACACCATGGTGTCCTCTGATAGTGTCTGGAACCCTCTCTGCTTGTCAGATTAAAAGTCTTCTCCCTCCCTAAGCTCAAACCTGTGGATCCCTGAGTACTCCCACAGTCCCCAGATGGGATCCCTCAATTGAGCTATTGGGTTTAGCTGTAGGGGGAAATACTGCTGGAAGTCCTCTCGCTCCTGGCAAATAAAGGCCTTGAGCCAGAGCTACTGTTAGGGGCTTACCCAAATAGCTCCCGAAACTGTAAAGTTCTGGGGCTTTTTGCTCATCCTAGATCTGAGTTCTCAAATGTGAAGTAAATTGAAACCAGCACTTGACACTGATCTGTGAGAGGAAGGTGGTTAGTTGCGGACATTGTGGTATAATGGGTGCTAGCGATGGATCTCCGAGTCCTGGTGGGGGACCAGCACTGTCTATACAAGATGTGGTTTTTGTGGGCCACCATATGCATTCAGGTTCGCATGCTTGGTTTCAACAGCCAGTGCCAAGGTGCTATAGCAAGTGAAGCAAACATGTTCTTGTCTGAAAACTGGCAGACACACCTTTAAAAGGGCCTAAATTTCAGAAAGTGATGAGCACCCATGGTCCATTTGGATGAAGAGAAAATCTGATTCTCCAGGGGCAGCTTCTATACCCTGTGTTCTGGAGTATTTAGTGCATTTAAAGTCTGAAGGATTGTCCAATCCTCCTCTTAAGAGTTGACTTGGCTGCTTTTTCAGCCTACAGTGACTTGGTTGAGGGTAGATCGTTGTTTGTACATGTCAGTCAGGTTTATGAAGGGGATGTCTAACACATCCTGCTTCAAGGGATCTTGCCCCATTTTGGGTCCTTAATTTTTCATATGTTCATGAAGTCACCCTTTAAACCCAAAATAGAGTTTGTTTTATTTAAGGATTAAAGGGGGGGGCTTAATCATCACTATTACATCAGCAAGAAGAGTGAATGAACTAGGGATGTAAGCAACTAAACTAATTGATTAGCTGATTAACTGAAACTTAATATCCCTTGAATGAACAACATGCTGTGATGGTTGGCCTGCCATTTAACTAATTTTCACAGAGACAAAGTGGTTCTTAGACCTGGTCCTAGGGTTATTTTTAACAAAAATTAGTATTTGAGTTTGACATAATTAATTTGCCACTTTTCTTTCCCAGCCTTCATGCTAGTGAAGTGGAGCCTGTATTGCATACATTAAGTTTCCAAGACCTCACCCAGACTGTTTATGCTAAAAATCACATGGGTCATAGCTTGTCAGCTCAGTCTATTTCTAGGTGGAGTAAGCATTGCATTGTGATCTGAGTTACTACAGGCAGCTCTGGAACTTGAGTTATCTATCTACCTTCCCCTCTTTCTCAGAGTCCTACTGTGGTTTTCTAGGTTGGTGCTGAAAAGAACCAAGGGTGCAGCACCCCCTTTTTAGAAGCTCGCCTGTGACCATGCAGAGATATCCAGAGGAGGCAGCACAGTTCCTGTAAATGTGGATGTTCTGAGTCACAACTCCTGTTACAAGTAACTAACCTTCATATTTTCACCTGTAGCTCGAAGGTGCCATGGGACCTTGACCTTGGTTGGAGCCCTAGCCTGTCTTGTAATATAAACAAGATAAGATGGTGGCTGTCTCTTATTGGCCCAACTTCTGTGGTTGAGACAAGTGTGGCTGTTTCGAAATGATCAAAAGTGGGGAATAAAGCTTGTGAGCTGGTGTGAAGCAGCTGTAACATGTCCCTCCCATGTGATTGGAGGACTCCCTTCCATGGTCTGGCTGGTGGGCCAACAGGGCTGCCCTTATTGAAGTCAACAAGAAAAACCCTGCTGTGACATCTGGCTGCTATTTCCACTTGCCATAAAGTAGCCGGATTGCCCGCTACTTGTTAGCTGAGTTGTAAGGTGCTTGTTGAAGTGCCCAGTGTGATGGGTCTGTAAACTCATCCTGAGCTTCTTGATACTTTGCAACTCAAGCTTCTCATGGGTTAAGTTTTCTTCAGTGCCAATCACCTTGGCTTGTAGGGACCTTCCTCCTTTACATAGACTCTCTGGAGATGCTCTTCCAACATTCCTTCTTGCAGCGGTGACTGCTTCACTTCTATGGATTGTCCTACCGTGTTCCCATCGCTGTGAATCTTTCTCCACAAATTTCAGAGCACAGGGACCCCAAAGCACAGGCTCAAACTGTGGCTGAAAGAAACCACCACACCTTGATGGCAGCTGTTCAGAAAGGTGCAACAACTCTGGCAAATGAGGTTGAAGGAAGAACCGAAAGGGAACTGAGATCCAAGTGGAGGATAAGATGAGCAGAAAACACTGGACACACCCTCTGTTCACCCTCTCTGGAACATTGACTTTGTTCTGCATGAATTGCTGCTCGGGTGTAGGAGTGGCTGTTTGCAATACACACACAAATGCTCCTAGGCTTTGAGTCCTGCAGCTCACGCCCTCATTCTGCTGCGAAAAGCTGGCAAGCTTGACTGCCAGAGGAACCAACTTCCTGATTCACTTGTTTGCAGAAGGGAACTGATGGGAACCACCCTTGCTCTCACCTACCTGCTCCTTTGGGCAGGTCCTGCTGGGATTTTTGGCTGTCACACAGAGGCTAGAACTCCCAGGCAATTTGGAAACCATGTTGTCAGGGTCAGAGCTCCATGTGTCGCTAAGGAAACCTTGCTGAGAGTTGCTAATGGAAACACACCATTTCCAGCAACGTGTGCTACCCCACTAACGCTGCCCTGTGCTGTCAGGCACTTGTGCAATGGGCACAAAGCAAAAGCAAAGCAGCCATGGCCAACCTGAGCAGCCTGCAACCAGCCAGAGAAATGCAACATGGGAGGTGTCATGGCTGGCATTAGTAGCAGTGCACAGGAAACTTGGTTACCACAACTGTGGTCACCCTATCAATTAACCCAGCACCCCTGGGCAGGAGGGATGTGCCAGGTATGGCCTCCATCTGCATCCTCCCCTTGCATCTGTGTGTGTGCTTGGCAGATCTGAAAGCCCTGCGCGCCCCCCCCGCTCTTCTCTCTCCTCCTCCCCCTCCCCCCCAAGCAGGACAGCCCTAGGGAGCAGAGGTTGGCAAATGCAGAGACAGGTGGCCTCTGCAGGCAGGGAAAGGCAGAGTTGCTTTCCTGCTGTAGCTGGTGCGACTGAAGGGGAATGGTGCAACACCAACTCCTGCGCAGTCTCCTTCTGTGGCCAGGCTGGGGTTAGCCAGGATCCAAGAGGATAAAGCTGAGCAGCGGTACTGAAATGAGAGCAGCCACCCCAGTTCACAAGACAGGAGGCTGGCATAGGTGCTACAGGGAGATGTTTAAAGCTGACCCATGGTGGTTCCTCACCCCCTCCTCCCCCCAAATTCACTGGCCTTGATTGTCCTTGTGAGTGGGGGCCAGCTGGGCACCTATGCATCAGCCTATCTGTAACCTGGCCTGGTGCAGCCTAGGAGGGTAGTAACAGCTGGGACCAGGGCCCTAGAACTAGGGCAGTAGGAGCAGAAATGGGAAGGAAGTGGGAGCAGAAGGCGGCCATATCCAGCCTCAGTAGAAACAGAAGGGATGCCCCGCTTGGGGAAATGGAGACTGAGCTGCTCCCTGCAGCAAGGGACTGTGGGCAAGGCAGGGGGACTGCCCCTCCAGCTCTGTGGGAGAGTAGCAACAGCCAGGGACTGGGATCAGGCTGGCTAGTGTCTGTGCTGGCCTTGGCTGCATCCTGCCTGCTCAGCTTTAGCCATGTGATCAGCACATCTGCCTCCCATGCACCTGTACTGAGGGCCAGGGGCACACAGGTCTTGGGAAGGAAGGGCTCTTCCATGGCTCCAGGCCAGTACCCAGCCTGCATGGTAACAGGTGCTTGCAGCCACTTTCAGTCTTTCCTAGCTGCCCCACCCTGGCAGGGGCTGAATTTCCCTCCTGCCTGGGAAGCCATTTGCCATCTCCTAGATCCTGTGAGGGGGAGAGGCTCAAGCCTCCCTGCAGGCCATGAGCACCCAGTTGTGCCAGCTCCTGGGGCTGAGCAGAGGATTTGGATCCAGGCAGAGGCTCACTAAGCCAGGGAGTAAGGGGAGCAGATAAGGCTCCCTCAGCCCTTGTGGAGGGACTGAGCTGCTGCTCAGGGTAGATTTCTGGCTGCAACACCTGACCCACGTTGCCCTGGCAGGGGAGTGGGCTCAGAGCTGGTCCCCTCCGCTGTCCTTGCCAGTGAAGGGCAGGTATCCAGAGGAGCCCTGCAGGCTGTGCCCCAGCAGAGTGGATGGGTGGAGCCCCCACTGCAGGGGAGGGACAAGGCTGCTGGAGGCCACCTCACCCACAGCAGGGGGCTCAGCTTCTACAGGAAGGCAGCAGGCCCCTCCCCCAT